TTTATATCCAGCTTTAGAATCTTAAAAAGAATTTTTTAAAATCTTAATACAAATTAAATCTTTTTATCTAATATAATATCTTTGAAAAATTCATAATAAAAATTAATGTTGCCAAGAAAAAATTTAGTTATTTCTTTATATGTAATAGATTTTATACATAATAAAAAATAAATCATATTATTAAAAAAATCTATTATCATAAATATAGAATTATGAGAACTTAAGACTTAAAGAACCATGATAAAATCTATAGAAAAAAAAAAAAAAAAAAAAAAAAAAACCATAATTGTTCTAAAATAAAAAAAAAATGTCTAAAGAAGTCTATAAGGATTAATGATGAAAAGTTTTTGATCTTAAACAAATGTCACATGATTGTATAAATTCTTTAAGTACCTTTTATATTGAGACCACCAAAGATCTCTAGATATTATTTCTAAATTCTTGTTGTACCAAAAATATTCTATCATTAAAAAGCTTTGACAAGCTTGAAGAACATAAAATGGTATTTTTTCTTCTGAAATATACAAGTGTCTTTTGAAATATGATAGATTATTCTTGAATTTGAACTTAGAAGTATCATGAGATTTACATAAATTATTCTTAATATCATACTTGATTGAATTTACTTGAAAAATATTGAATCAAAAATCAATATTAATTTCATTATTCAAAGATGAAATATTCTAGCTTCAATAAGATTATTCTTTGTTAATTAAAAGCTATATTTTTTTCTTTCGGTGCAAGATAAGAATGTTTGAAAAAAGAATCTCACTAATCTTATTATTTGTTTTATCAATAAGTGATCTTAAAATCTAATGAACTTGACAACAATTCAAAATACATATTGATATGAAATACTTGAGGTTCTTGTGATTTGTATATATAGTGACTAAATTAAAAGCATCTTCTAAATAATAATACTATTTTTAAAATAAATCCATGATTACAAGAAGATTTTAGATGTAGATTTTATGAATGATCTTGATTGCTAAAAATTTCTTAGAATAAAAAGCTATTATGTGGAGTTTGTCACTTGCTCCCATTTGTGGCAATACTTTATTTAAAGCAAATTTTGATGTGTTAGTTTTCATAAAAAAGTATCTTAAAAAAGTTAATGCAATATAAGATTGGTACAAAAATAAAAGTTATATTTAAGGCTTTAAAAAATAATATAGCATCTTTATTCTACTCAAATTTGTCTTTACATGTCAAATATGTAGGTGGAATAGCAACTTGAAAAAAATTCTTGATGTGGATCTAGTAATAATTGGCAAATTCCAAAAAATATTACAAATTTCTTATTATTTTTTTAATCTTTCAATCCATGATAGTCTTGATCTTCTTAAGATCCATCATAAGGTCATTATTTAAAATGATGTATCATAAGAAGTTAATTTGAGTAATATAAAATATATACTTTTTTATCTTGATATTTAATCTTATATATTTAATTTTTTTTAATATGCAAAAAATATAAATATCATTTTCTTCTATATTCTTAGAATATATTAAAATATTTTTTAAATAATAAATAGAAAAATTATCAATAAATTTACAAAAAATATCACATATTAGATATTAAAAAGTATTTGGTGCATTTGTGAATCTAAAAGCATGACATTATATTCAAAATATCTATACTTGGTTTGAAATTTTATCTTCTATTTATCTCTTTTTTTAATACACACTAGATTCTATGCTCTTTATAGTTCTATTTTTGTATAGATCTTTACTTGATTGAATTGATTAAGGAGTCTTAAAATTAAAAATAAAAAATACATATTCTTAATAGTGATCTTGTTGAGTCATCAATAGTCCACATATATCTGCAAAAGTCTATTTTTTTTCTTCATAAATAAGATAGAAGCTTTTGTTAGAGATTTAAAATGGCATATGTAGTTTTTAGCAAAGTTTTCATTAATATATTCTTTAAGTGCAGCCAATTTGTTTTACAATGAGTTATAGATTGGTCCAAATTGCAATTGAGCTTTTACTTAAAGATCAATAAAATAATTATTGGAATGATGCTCCAGAAAAATATTTATATATATTTTTTTAATAAACATCTTAATAATCTTAATATTGATTTAAAATGCTACTTGAAGCCTTTTTACTATCAAAAATAGATGTAGTATATATAGCAAAAAGTGACCCTTTTATTACAATATGTACAAAAGCTCTTGCACCTACCAATAAAGGTTTAATTGTATTGTATTTATAGATCTTTACTTGACTAATAAAATTATAGAAAAAATCAAGATTACAAGAAATCTAATATATTTAAAAATTATGCTTCTTTAAGCACAATAATCCTAAAACAATTGGGTTGGAAGGAGATCTAAATATATTTATATTACTAAACTATTATAATGATTAGCTGATAAATTTTTAAAAAAAATTATATATAACATCTCCAAAAAACAACAAACAACCATCTATTATTTCTACATGCAGAAGTTTGGTTTTCTTAACTAAGAATATTTCTTATTTTTTGACAAAGTATTCATCTATAAAACAAGCTCAGGCTTTTGAATCTATCAAAGCAAAGACTTTATGATTTTTTAATCCTAAAAAAACTTCTATTATAAAGTAAGGTGAAGGATGTGACAAGAAAATATGATCTTTATTAGGTATAACACAAGATTTCAATTGCGCAATTTCTATTGTAGTTAGAAAATTTTATTTTTGAACATATTATCTTTTTTGGAAATTATGCTCTTTATTTTACAATTATATTGCCTCTTTGGATAATGTTGAATTTTGTGCTTGAATTCTTTAAAATATAGTCATAAACCTTCTTGACAATGTCAAGTCTTAATTGTGAATTGTGAATTTTTTTCCATCAAAGTTGAAAATGAAGAGAGAAAATTCCTAGAGAGAAGTGCACTTATGAATCTAATTTTAATAAATCTATTAGAATATTAGAAAAGATGCAATCTTAAGTAGAGCTTTACTTATTGAGAAAATCTTCAAAATTTTGATCTTGTTGAATCAAACTTCTTTGATATATTCATTCTTGCCTCCTTCATACTTGTAATAATAAGACTTTTTGGATTTAGTTGTAAACTTGATCTACTTGCTTCTTTTAATAGTATAACTTCTTAATATAAATTTTAAACTTCATTGTTGATTTCCTCTATAGGCATTGGAATATTATATCAATGGTTGATTTAAAAATATATGAGATTTCTACACAAAGAATGTTGATAAATTCATAGACATGTAATAGTTGCAAATTTATTTTAACTTCTACCAAGAGTGGCATGTATAATTTTTTCTTTGAAAAATAATTCAAACAAATCCTTAAATTAGAAGAGGATAATCCACCACCTTTAATATCAAATAAAGTTTTATCCAAAGAGAGGTAATCCACTCTCTTTAAGAAAAATTCCAATGTTAAACAATTAAAAGTTAGTTTAAAGATGGATAATCGGCAACCTTCAAAATATAACAAAAAAAGTGGGATAATCTACTTGCTTCTAAAATTAAATAAGAACAATGAGATAATACTCTTGTTAAACTATCTAAGATATGAATCACAATAATAAAACTCTCAAAACACTCTTGTGTTACTCAAAAAGAATATATATTTATTCAAAATAGTATAGTATTAGAATTAGAATGTGTACTGTCTAAGACAAAAAGAGTAGAGATTCTTGAAACTAGACAAAAAGAGTAGAGATTCTTGAAACTAGACTAAGAATAGAAAAGGCATTGATAAGAGTAAAGAAGGCTTCACATTTGCCTCCAAATATACTATCTAACTAGGAGCTACATGGTGACGTTCTATATGACCTTTGACATATGTCTAACTTGTAAGACATATGTCTAACTTACAAAGCAAGTTTCTTATATGAACATCATATGGTTAGCTTGTACTAACACATGTGACACTTGGCTAACTTATTGGCCAAGTTTATAACCTATCAATCAACTACAAATATGTCTAATATCAAATCGACATCTATGAAGCTTCTAAGAAGCCTTGCCACAAGATATTATCATATCTATCTGTATTTTATTCTTTATGTAATACTTCTTATCTATGTAAATATGTATGTTTATGATACCTATTAATTACTTATAAACACATATAAATACAATTTTGTATCTATATAATTTTTATATACTCATATAAATTAGTTAATTATTAGAATAAATATATATGTCTATAACAATATATTATGTCAAAAGAAATGAAAATAAGCTGAAATTTTTTATAATACAAAATTTATTTAAAAAATCTAAGTATAAAAAATAAAATTAAAGAAATTATTAAGTCTAATAAATTATTTTAAATTCAAATAAGTAAAAATAAAAATAAAAATAATATAACTTATATTTTAATTTATGTAATATATTTTATGTATTATGTATTAAATATTAATTTGTTGAATTATGATTGATTTCGAAATATCATTAAGCTTAATGATAATTTAAATATAATTTGATGTTATATATAAAATAATACTTGACTTTTTAGAATTTTGTGTAATAAAAAAGGATATAAGTATTTATTAGTTCTATATGTACAGTTGTATTTTTTTAGGAAATATATGAATATTTCAATTTATATTTGAAAAATATTATATTAAAATAAAAAACTAAATTTGAAGACATTCTATAATTTTTTTAATAAATATTTGTTTATTACATGAATGTAGTTAAACTTATATTTTTTAAAGCTATGATTTTGGTTTAATAATTTATATTCTAATATAGATAATAATTTATTGACTTCAAATATTTATTCTTATAATTATAATAAAAAATATATGAAAAAAAAATTTATAAATTTAATTTTATAAATAATAGTATATTTTCACAAAACACATTTCATCGTAAGCACCAAAGAAGAATATCATCAAACAACGGATAGAGGAAGAACAGCGGGGGTGGGGTGGAGCACGGTGGAAGGGTTGTAGCAACAGAAATAGGCTGTGCCCGTGTCACAGGACAGCATGGTCTACAACTTCCGACGCTGAGCATTGAGGCTGCAATCAAACCGTGTTTGTCACAGAAAGTGAAGAAGAAGATGTGGATGTTGCTCGAGAACCAGGCGTAGACGTTCGTCACCCTAGGAGAGAGAGCAAGCACAATCTGAAGGGTGGGAAGGGGAAACCCTGCTTTACTCCCTTAGGGTTAACCTTTTTTCTTAGGGTGACCCTCCCTCCCTCTACACCTCTCCCTCTTTCTCTGTTGCTTGGCTATGGCGTAGCGTCACTCTGGTTTTTTTTTTTTTTTTTTTTTTTTTTTCTCTCCTTTTCCTCATAGGGTTTAATGTCGGAACGAGTGAGAAGCCGTGCCGGCAGCAGGGAACGGAAGCCGCGATCACGCTCCAGGGAAAGTATGAGAGATTCGAAGGTGGACGGGGGAGTGGACGCAAAGGGAAGAGGTCATAGGGATGCGGATGACGGTCGGAGGCGGAGGTCCCGGTCGCGGGACAGCACGCGGGATTCGAAGCGGAGGCGCAGGTCGCGTTCCAGGGAAAGCCCGAGGGATTCTAAGTCGGGCCTGAATTCTGAACGGAAAGCCCGCTCACGATCTAGGGAAGGCGTGCGCGACCGTGATGTTGAAGATAAAGACCGAAAAAAAAGCTATGGAGCAGCGGATGAGACGCATTCCAGGGGTCGTTGGAACGATTCGGATGGTGTTAGTCGCAGACGGGACGAGGAAATTTGTGGCAAGAAAGGGAGGACTGAACACACCCGCAGTGGCGTAGATCGAAGAGAAAGGTCACGGTCACGAGAGAGCGTTCGAGATCGAAGGGCTGGGAGCAGGGAAAGCAATCGCGACAGAGATAGGAGGGCTGGGAGCAGAGAAAGCATTCGCGACAGAGAAAGAAGGGCGGGGAGCAGGGAAAGCAATCGTGACAGAGAAAGAAGGGCAGGGAGCAGGGAAAGCAATCGTGACAGAGAAAGAAGGGCTGGGAGCAGGGAAAGCAATCGTGATAGGGAAAGAAGGGCTGGGAGCAGAGAAAGCTTGCGAGAGAAAGATAGAGAGAGAAGAGCTGGGAGCAGAGAAAGCTTGCCAGAAAGAGAGAGAGGGGATGGGAGTAGGCCTCGGGGCTATGGTGATGAGCATCACGATAAGAATTCCGGGCATGGAAGTCGAGTTAACGCGGTGAAGAATCATCATAACGGAGATAACAATTTGCATAATGTAAGCAGAGATGGAGCATATAGGGCTGACAGACATGCGGATAGGGATTGGGACAGGAGCCGAGATGGTGGTTACGGAAGTCATCGTGATCGCGACCGCCGTGATAGGAGTTACCGGAATCGGAGCTTCAGGGAGGATCTTGATTCTATTAAGGAGCAAACAGAAAGGTTTAAAAGCTTCTCTGAATTTGGCTCTTGGTCGTTGTTTCAGTTTGTCAATTCTATTCAGAGTTTCTCCTGTTGTGTGTACGCTATGGACTGATGCAAGATGCTTTGGAACACGCGATGTTATTTCTTTAAGTAACAGCACTTACTGGAGTGTGTCTGGTTGCAAATACATTGCAGTCTGATGATTTTGCAATTAGGGATACGTAGTATTAAATGATAAATGACAATCTATTGTATTCTTTTGTGTCCCGTCTCGAATTTTACAGGGAAGAAGAGGAGGAGGAAGAGTACAAAGAGCGCATTGATTCACAACTGGCTGCCCGGGAAGAAGACGATCCTGAAAAGGTTAAAGAAGCAAGTAGGCGTCGTAGGCAAGCAATACTAGAGAAATACAAGCAACAACAGCAAGAGGAGCAGCCGAATCAACAGGCAATGGAAGTGGACATCAACAAGCCTACTGAGGTTAATGCTGGTGAGTTATTCAATGAAATCAAAATTTCTCGTCCTATCAGGTTTGGAATTAAGATAGTCATTCACTCAATCCACCCAGGGGTTGTTGTTTTGGTTCTGTTCATCAGTGTTGATTGTTGTCATCTATTTTTTGCTCTGTAAAGTCATTGCTAAAATCATTATATTTTTCTGAACATGCTCTTGGTTTGGATTAATTCAGTTGATCATAGCTTAGTCAAGAAGACGGAGCAGGGTCTACCTTCAATTTCACCCGACATTAAAGAGATACAGGTTTTGGAAGAGCCTTTCAACGGCATGGAAGTTGACTTGGAGAAGAAAAATGTTGTCAATGGCAATACTCAAATCGAGACTGCATCAGCAGTTGGTGGCTTGGGACAAGGATCACCGAAAGTAAGTTTGAATGATACATATTCAGTCCAGTTGAACTTGGCTGTGGAATCTTTCGAACGGATGACCAAGATGGTGGTTTTGTCCATGTGGCGGATAGTTGATCATGCGGTTTGGCTTATAATCATTCTTCAATGTGTTCATTCTCTGGTTGCAGAGTGAGTCAAAGTATAATGATGATATGTTCTCTGACGATATTTTTGGGGATTCACCAGCAGGGGGTCGGAGAATGGTATGTCTCTTTTTAGAAATGTCTTGGATTATCTTAATCGATTTATGATGCACGTTTTTTTGTTTTGTTTTGCTTTATTTATAGTTTTATTGTTTGTTTCATTGTTGTGTTCTATTTCCTTATTTTGTTTCTAAGTATAGTCGTTTTTGTTGATCATTTTCTCTCACTTGACCGACGCACATGTTCACTGCAGGGAAAAGGTGACGGCTTAGCTATTAATGCAAGTGGTCTGAATGACAATTGGGATGATCCTGAAGGACGATACTGTAAGTTTGTCAAATCCTTGCTTTTAAGCTGCTTTTTGTTTTAAGTTGGACATGTCTTTTTTTTGGAGATTGATCTGAGCTGCGGCACGATCTATGTTTTGGAGATGTAATGTCCAACATTTGTTGGTTTGTTAGTGGGGTGAAAACGAGGTTTGGCGATCTCTTACGAAATGAGAATGCTTGGTCATAGGTTTCCGTATTGGTGAGACCTTGGATGGCCGATACGGTGTTTTGGCGTCACATGGCAGTGGTGTGTTTTCCACTGTGGTTCGAGCGCATGATTCGAAGGCAGGTAAAGATGATCCTGAAGAAGTCGCGATCAAGATCATTCGCAACAATGACACCATGTAAGTTCTTCGTTTTTTTCTGCTTTTCAAAAATTTCCTTCTGAGAAGCCTTCTGATTGTGTTTCTTTAGTTAGGATTCTTAGTGCATGTGAGGTTTAATAGTTCTCATGAGATATTGACAGTATGGACTCGTTCATAATTCCGTATTATATTCTGGCTACAATGAACGATCTTTGTCACATAATTTGGATTGAATGTGATGTATATGATTCTCAGTTCCACTTGTATGAAAAATATTGTATTATGGCACAAGTGATGCATATGATTTGAGATCTAAGAGTTCTGCGTGTTGGACTGACAGGTATAAAATTGGCCAACAGGAGCTGGTGATATTGAAAAAATTAGCTGGAGCTGATCCTGAAAACAGAAGGCATTGTGTACGACTACTTTCTAGCTTTGAATATCGGAACCATTTGTGTTTGGTCTTTGAGTCTTTGCACATGAACCTCCGTGAAATTCTGAAAAAGTTTGGTCGCAATATTGGCATCAACTTGACTGCAGTCCGAGCTTATGCAAAACAGTTATTTATCGCTCTCAAACATTTGCGGAACTGTGGAGTTTTGCACTGCGACATCAAGCCTGATAATATGTTGGTATGTTAAATGTGTTTTCTACGTATGTGCAACAGAGCTAGAGTGTAGAGCGTACAGTGAGTTTAGTGGACCTGTTTTATTCATCCTTTTTTAGTAATTGGCATCTATTGTGCTAGTATATTTTTACTTTTTACACCCTTATCACAGTAACATTCCTGCAAAACTCCGTACTTATGTAGGGACTATTTTTACAGGTGAATGTCGCAATGAACGTGCTGAAGCTTTGTGATTTTGGATCTGCTATGTTCGCTGGGGAGAACGAAATCACACCTTACTTAGTCAGTCGATTTTATCGAGCACCTGAAATCAGTGAGTACTTGAGCACTAGCTTTCTTTACAAATTGATATGAACTAGCAAGCTTTGTGTTGCAAGCTACTCTTCAGAATTAAGTATTTCTGTGCTTTCTTTTGAGTGATAATATTGAGGCATCTCTCTAAATGAAAATCAGTAATTTAACCATCGTTTCCTTGTCTGATTAGTTAATGGTATTTTCCTTTACCTGACGTTTCCTATTTCTCATCTTCTTCGGTTGTCCTTTTGAAATATCTGGGTTTCTGTTAATAGTACTTATTGCCTCACAAGGACGCTTTACATCTGTGCTAGTTTGTGCATACATCATGGTGTCACCGCTGAATCATCAAGGTCATTAACTAACTCATTATCGATTTTCTGTTGTAGTTCTTGGCTTACCTTACGACCATGCTCTTGATATATGGTCGGTTGGCTGCTGTTTATATGAGCTCTACTCCGGGAAGATGCTATTTCCTGGGCATACCAATAATGACATGCTACGTCTGCACATGGAGCTGAAGGGGCCTTTCCCAAAGAAGATGCTCAAGAAGGTAGTTAACCAAAGATTTGGTTATCATCTACTGTCACTTGTATGTTGTGAATAGTTTCCTCTTCTAAGGTCTTAAGTGCTGAACGTTCTGTGCCTCCCGGTTGACAGGTGGAGTTTTAAGCTTTCAATCATTACAGACTCATACAGCCTAGGTGAAGGGATAAAAGGCCTGCTCGGTTTTGATTGGTGAGCTGTGAAGCTTGGTTCATAGAGCGTGGGGTAGTGTGTCTGTAGACTCCTCTTTGTGTACATCCACAAACCATACTATACCTGCATTCAAGGCATGACAATGTCAGCCTCACTTTCGCTTAGCCGTGTGCTATTTGTCAACTTGGATGTAGGTATGATATGGTATGGTGTATCCCCATAATCTTAGAGCCTCAGAGGCCTTCAGAGTGTCTACACCTAGCGCTCGAATAACTCATGGTAGAACAGCTGTATGATGTCAGTCATGGTATTCTTACGGGAAGAAGACTAATTTACTGACCTCACAGCTGATGTGCAAATTTGTACAGGTACCGTAGTTTCGCTGGCGCAGAGCTTCTTGTTCTAACGGGACTTAGTGGTTTGTCTTATTGTGCAGGCGCAGTTCAAGGATCAGCACTTTGACCAAGACTTAAACTTTTGTGCTGTCGAAGAGGATCCCGTTACCAAGAAGGTAAAATTTGCAGCAACTATTTTCCTCTTTGTTAGTGCTCGTCCTACTACAGATTGCACATGTATCGACTGCATCCCTCATTTCGCCCTCGTTTACTGCAGATGGTAAAGAGGATAATTAGAAACGATCATTTCCTCAAACCCAAGGACATGGGACATCTCGTTTACCCCTCAGGAGCAGCTGACGAAGACGCTAAAATGGTTGCGCAGTTCAGGGATTTGTTGGAGAAGATGTTTGTTCTGGATCCTGACAAGCGGATGACTGTGTCAGAGGCATTGAATCACCCCTTCATTGCGGGAAGGTGATGCAGTTATGCCAGCTACCGGCGTATACATTGTTGCCTGTCTGGACATGAAGTTTTCTTCTGCATATGTAGAGCTTAGGAAAGTAATCGTAATCTTACAGTCTCCAGCATCTATTAGACCAACAAAACAAATTCTGCTTTTTCGTTCTACATTTTCTGCTATTGATCTCAAACTCTCTCTGTCGTGGCACTGCTCGTCGCGAGATCTCGCCAATCCACCAATGGCGCCTGGCGTGGGTGGGCTTCTGCTGTTGTTTCAGGGCGAGACCCACAGAGCATATAACTCTGTACTATTGTAAGACAACACGCACAAAGCGTTTTCCTGTCCATCTGCTTCTGATATCGATCATTGTGTTGATGATGTGAAATCTCTGAGTTTTCAAATTCGGGTTGTGGCCAGCCGTCGTCTCTTTTGTGTCCTTAGAATGCGTCATTGTGCTAACATGAAACACTGAACACTTGCATGCTCTAGTGATGGGTATGTTCCAGCAAGGATATTGAGTTCTATTTGTTTCATATCTTATAAGATTGGGATACAGTTTGATTCTTCTTGTCTTTGAGATGAAGCATCGACGTTCTTTTGTAACTCATCGTTTTTCATCTAGGCTGTTTTTAGTACTTGTGGCTTTCCAATTTTGTTGCCCTTGGTCTTTTATAGAATAGTTGTAGGCGGAAGTATGAGGAGTCTGATGCGCGTTCGTTCTTCAGGGATGCTCTCCTGTCTCAGGCGATTAGCCCCTTTGGTGCTTTAAGCGCTAGGTAATACAGCGGCGAGAAGGTACTCTAGTTCTCCTAAGGCTGACTGCGCACATGTCTCTAGTGCGCTCCTCAATAGTCCTCATGACCTTAAGTTCGTTTTGGTGTTCCCGAGAATACTTTTGCTTGCTGGTCTGTAGTTTTGTGTATGGTTTGGTTTTCAATGGTATTGAGCCAAGTGATACATTTTGTATCTTTTAGGCAGTGGAATATAGATTCAAGGGTTAGTCACTTCGCAGGTTTGGCTGCTTCGTAGTCAGTAGAGTGCTTAAGGACAAGTCTGAAATCATTTAGTTTGATCGTATCTATGGCGACACATAAGACTGCTTTTGCTGTCAAGGTACGTTGCCTGATTGATTACCGCCCTTGGATGTCTACTTGTGGTGCTAAATTCTAACTATAAGATCGAATGGGCGTTTATTTTGGTTTTTGTTTATCTACAAATATTCAGTATCTTTCTAGAATTATACGGTGGGAATGTATGCCAAGGTTGAATGCATGACTCAGAACTGACAGTAAGTGTACTTTAGGTGGTGGATGCCTCTTGTCTTGTCAGCACTCTGAGGAAGTGATTTTGAAGACCACCTACAGTGATCAGACTTAGGTGAGTTTCATTTTTTGTCATTTCAAGTACTTTTTTTTTCAATATCTTAACCTAACCCTTGCATTTTGTGGGATGTAAACAAATAATTATCCTGCCGTCGGTCTCTAGGATCTTAATCCACCGTTTATGTTGCCTTCAGAACAATGATGGGATGCATGCTCTTAATAAAATTAAGTTTGTGGTCAAATGCTGCTAGTGGTTTCTCCCCTCTTCGAGTTACGACTCGGGTAAGTTCTCGTTGTGTCATCTAGTATAATGTGTCCTGTTAAATGATACATATGATTAATGCCACAACAATGGTTTTTTAATTTCTATCACTGAGTCAGTGGGACATCCAAGCTACCCAAAGGTTGAAGAATATCCTCGGATGAAGTGAAACAAGGTTTTGGTTACAAAATGGTGTTAATGCTGCCTCTTTATTAGTAGTAAAAGAGGGGGCATCACGTTGTCTCAAGCTTTTCTGTACAATTACTTTCTGCCCAAGCGCAGGCTACTTACACGAAGGGACATTAAAAATTCTTCTTTGTTAGTATCTGTGTTATGTTTACAAGCAACTTAGTCGTCTACTGTCGATTCGGATTTTATGCTTTAGTTGTTGAAGTGATATGATGGGGGGAATATGTATATGATGGGGGGAACGTGTACGCAAATCATAGGGATGCAATGCGTTGTTAAACGATTTTCTGCAGTCGTTATCTGCTAGTTAATGTCTGATTTTTTTTTCATAGTCCCCTAGTCCTTTTCGGATGTGCTTGTACTTGAGATATTTCTTACTCTGCTGATTTTAGAGCAGACTTCCATGTAGTCGCAACATCAGCAATCAGTGATGCAGGTGATAAATATTTCTGCCATTCATAAAGCATTCTCTTGTATCGATCTACAATTTCATTGCTGATTAGTTCGAACCAGTATGTGACGCAATGGTAATGAAGCAGGTCTTCACCAGCTTCACTAGAAGTCTCACCCTTAAATGTGAGACCTGGCGTGGAAGTGGCCAGCCTTGTACTGGAACTGAATGGAACCACGCTTATTGGGGGCTTCGTCCGGGTTTGCGCAAAAGCATGAGCTCCTTGACAACCATCTTTTCTGTGAGTTTGGTATGAACCGTCAGCATTCGCTTGTTCGTGGTTCAGCTGAACGTCTATCACTGCCCCTAGCTATTAATCAATCACGTGCATGGGTAGAATCTCCATGGTATGTCTTCCATATGTGCTTCCGGGACTGGCATTAGCAATTTGGCATGGAGCCCCGAAACGTACTGGCCGAAGATGACAGCTGCGGCTTGACATGACGCAACCTAGAGCTTGTGGTAGAGATCAGAACGGACCCTAGACGTAGGGGATCTCAGCCCACCTCTGAATTTGCAAATCTAAGTCTATTGAGAGGAGGCATGGACTCGGGTACGAAATTGTGGTAAAATGTGAAGAATGGAGGGTTTCCATCATTTATAGTTAGACCTTCAGGTAGCACTCGCTCATCGAATTGACATCCCATCTTGAACATTGTGGAAATAATCCCCGTCAATTTCTGTTCAAAATATTAGTGTCTATGTTGAGTGTTTTTTGGGGTCGACTCTCATGCCCATATTCAATGTGCGTTGACATTATTGCTGATAGGGGTCGCCGAATTGAACACAGAATCTATCCGTCTGATCTCGCCTTGCCATAAGCTGCAAGTCCCACAGCAGAGTATATGATAGTGTGCGTCGTTGGGAGTACTCTTGCTGTCTTACTTATTTATAGTAAGCTTCTGACTTCAATTTTGTGCAATGATCACAGCAACTAAGTGTTGCTAACATCGCAAGGTAACCTGAAGCTGTTTGCATTTATTGGTATTTTATTATATTTGTTTGTATGCCCTATATTATATGAAAAGTTTATATTATGCTGCTAAAGTGCTGTACGCAGGAAGATTTATCTCTGAGACACAAACAAAAAGAGCAAATATATGTTTCAGAAGGTAAAACACGTTTACGTGTTCTTCAAGCTCATCACGACTTCCCAGCAGCAGGACATTTTGGATATAATAAGACTTTGGAGCTGATATCTAGGGATTTTTGGTGGCCTCAAATGTGGAAAGCAGTTAAAGATTTCGTACAATCATGTGATGTTTGCTCAAGATCGAAAACTCCTCGTCATCGACCTTTTGGACTTCTTCAGCCATTACCCATTCCAAAACAACCATGGTCTTCTATTTCTATGGACTTCATCACGGATCTTCCAATCTCAGGTTCTTATAACTCTATATTCGTGATAGTAGATCGTTTTACCAAGATGGTACATTTTATACCATGTACAAAATCTATCACAGGTGAAGAAACAACTAAGCTCTTTCTTGACAATATCTATCTCTATCATGGATTATCCAAGGATATTATATCAGATAGGGGAACTCAATTTGTATCAAGATTTTGGTGCTCTTTTCAAGATTCTTAAAGTAGATATAAAACTATCCTCGGCATTCCATCCTCAAACTGATGGACAAACGGAGTGTGTTAATTAAGTTTTGGAGCAATATTTAAGATGTACCATTAATTACCAACAAGATGATTGGACAACTCTTTTGCCATTGGCAGAGTTTGCTTATAATAACATGGTACATTCTTCTACAAAACAAACACCTTTCTTTGCTAATTATGGTTATCATCCACGACTTGATACTTTTGACTTTTCAAAAGTTGATAATCCTGCTGCGAAAGATTTGGCAATTCATTTGTCAGAGCTACATGCAACGATGAAGGCGCAGTTAAAAGAGGCTCAAGAACAACAAAAGATCAATGCGGATGTCTATCGAAAGGAACAACCATCATTCATCTTGGGTGATAAGGTATGGCTACTTCGTCGCAATATCAAGACCACTCGTCCTTGTGACAAGTTGGACTATCGAAGGCTGGGACCATTTTCTATTTCTGCACAAATCAATCCAGTTGCATATCGTTTACATCTATCGGAGTCAATGAAAATCCATCCAGTATTCCATGTGTCTCTTCTTGAACCATACAAAATAGTGGACATACCAAAAAGACGATAAGCTCTACCTCCTCCTATAGAAGTGGACAATAATGAAGAGTTTGAAGTAGAAGAAGTCCTAGATTCAAGGCGACGTCGAAATAAATTAGAATATCTTGTCCATTGGCGCGTATATGGTATTAGTGAACGCACATGGGAGCCAATAAAGAATCTTGCAAATGCAGCAAAGGCAGTGGAGGCTTTTCATCGACGACATCCATCAAAATCAAGATAAAAATCTTCTTTATAAAAGAAACAACATCTAGGCAAGATAACAATCTACTTTCAATTCTTGTTCATAGATTCGTTGTAGTAGTGACGCTCAAGAGATGGAGAACCAACAACCAGCGGATTCAACTCAAGAGTCTTCATTTGCTGACTTGTCGGACGAGACATTACGATTGTCACAACCTTCAAGACGACGTAATCGAGATGAAGATCTCCAAGAACGACATGTTCTTCCTCGAATAGATGGCGAGATACAACACGTTTGGTATCACGATTTGGGAAGGGACTCCCGATGTTTGGTGATTTTGCTAGAGGTAAGAACAACTCCTGATGGTGTTCTAAATATTCTATTCGAAGAAAGTTACGAAGGCCTCAACAATGATCAAATAATTGGGTGGTCTTTCCGCCCTGGTATGGGACACTACTGATGGTTGAGAGGTCCTATCAATCATCTTTGAAGAGAACAAAGATCAGAGTATGTGGCGAATACAATTCGTCGCATCATAGATTTTCTCAACATATGATGACCGCTCCTCGTGGAACTCATCTCTAGAAGGGGGGGTAATATCACGGCCATAATCATGTAAGCTAATAATTACATATACAAATAGGTAGAAATAAGTAAAAGTATGTAAAAGTAAGTTAATTCTATAATATTTAATATGGAAGCTTCTTAGAAGCTTTCTAGACGTTGCTTTGACTTCATAGGTGTCTTTAATTGACTTTTTGGATTAGAAACGTGGTCAACAAGTTGGCCATGTGCCACACATGTTGTTAGCTTGAAGATCAAGCTAACTATGTAGCCCACACGTAGAAAAACTTGTCTTGTAAGTCAAGGCATGTGTCTTACAAAGTCAACACATATTGGAGGTCCTATAGAATGTCGCCACGTAGCCCCTAGTTAGATAGTATATATAGAGACAGGAGTGAAGGCTTCTTCACTCTTGTCAACTCCTTTCTTGGTTCTAGTCTAGTTTCAAGGGTCTCTAGTTTTCTTGTCTTTTGGTAATAGCCATTCCAATTCCTCTTTCAATATATATACTTGTTTATATATATTTTGTTACATCTCTTTGAGTGAAGGCTCACTTGACTGAATTATTTTTTCATCGAGTTCTTGTCCTTGACACTAGAGGCTTATCACCTTGCTAAATAATTCTTACAAAAACTTATATTAAAATAATCCAAAGTAAATTTTAACCAATTATCTTAGAAATATTCATTTAATTTATTTTATTATTTTATTATATTATAGTTTTACTTAAATAATTTATCAATTACCTAAGAGACCATAAATTAGGCCAAGACTTCAAAAAAAACCTCTCTTCTAGTTAAAATTTGATTTTTCTAAAGCCTATAATAAAGTTTCTTGAAAATTTTTGTTTAAAATCTTAAAGAAATTTAATTTTAATGACATCTTTATTTATATGATTAAAATTAATTTCCAAATTGTAAGCACAATATTTGGTATTAATAGGAATTAATATAAAATATTCGTCTCAATAGAAAAATAAGTTAGATTATGATGCCCTCTAAAAATCATATTTCTTTATCTTAATTGTATTTTTTTTATTTTTATTTTTTATTAGAAAAAATGTCATACAACACCATTTACAAGATATTTTTTTATTCCTTGTAACCTCAACCAAAAAGTCATTGGCCAATATATTGATAACTCTACCAATATAGTCTAAGGAGAAAAAGAAAAAAAAAAGAAATATATATATATATATATATAATTAAAAAATTCAACTTTGCTTTATCTATAAATTGATTGGTTCAAATTTGCCACATATTGGCAAATTTTAAAAATTAGATAGACTGATCAATTGAGATGGTCTTTGGCATCTAATACAAATATTATTAATTTTTTTGGAACCTCATTTAATATTTCTTTGAATACTCAAGATGTTGATCAATTTTTTAATTAAATTATGATTAATAGAATGACACAAAATTTAGACTAATGGTGCTTTACTACAATCAATGTGGTAGATAGAACCATTATTGTAAATAATATTTTATTTTTATTGTTATATATTTTTTTACATAAATAGACTATATTTATAAAGGCTATTTAAAGATCATAAAGTAGGGTTCTAGGCATCATTGATCCAAAAGAAGCAATCAAAGTACTCTTGTTAAAATGGATGTTAGTAACACTTCAACTAAGTCATAAAATATGCAATAATTTCTTAGATTTAGATTGATGAATATAAAATCTATTATTTATAAAACTTAGGTATTAAATCTAATTTTATCACTAATTCTAAATTATAAATAGAACACTAATTCTAAAATTTGGAATAAAATAAAGAAAGTATAGACAAAAATAAATAGATTTCTTAAAATCAACCATCCTACTTCTTTTCATAATGTGTAGAATTATTTTTTTATGGTGGAATCTTTAATTTTTTTGAATTGAAATTTATCTAAAATTTCATCAAGTTTTTATTTTAGACTCAAATAAACTTCATTATTTCAAAATTCTCTTTAAAGGACCTATAATTTCTCTTACTACAAAAGAAGCAATAAATACACATCACATTCTATTATATTATAACTTTATTTTGAATTTATTTTATAATTATTTTTTGAGTTTTTAAAGAATATTATTTATTATGATAATGCTCTTCTAAAACCAAATATTTGGATTAGATTGTATAAATTTAGATGTATTATTTTCTAACAATGATATTTTAAATTTTTTTAGAATTGTTTTGTACCAAAAAACAACAAATGGTTTATCTTACTTTGTTTCATGGAATTTTTCAATAAGCTTTTAGTCTAAAACTCTTCACAATGATGAAAAAAAATCCTTAAAAAAGATGCAAAAGATAATGAAGATCAAATAAAAGTCTTTTAAAAATTATTGAACTTGTTTCAAAAATAAAATAAAATAAAATAAACAGAAAATATAAGAGCCTTCATGGTATATTTCTTCTATGGCTCAATTAGTAAATTGACCTTTGAAGGCTCTTATATTAGAATTGAAGTCATCAAAAATAAAAAATAAAAAAATTGTAGATAAAAAGCTGGATGTGGATTGAAATTCCAACAAAATCTATTGCATTAATGTGCAATCTTAATCTTGCTCATTGAGAAGATTACATTTGAAAGACCCTTAATCTGGTGTATGCAAGATCTTGTAAAAGCCACATGTTGCTGTTCTTTTTAATCTTCTTCTTTGCTTGTAAATCCCTTGTACTGCATAGAAGATATTGTAAGCATAAAATACCATTTTTGCAAGAACACTTCCCACTGTTCACAACCAAAATATGAGAATTTCAACTTCTTATTTGTAAATTTTGTACTAAAACATAAAAAAATAGTATTTTCTAATTCTTTTCACACTCTAAATCAAATCTTCCAATAATAATAAAGATATATCTAATTTTTTGGTGGACGACATTCTAAAATTTATTATTTAAATTGATATTCATAGCTTTGTGAAAACTTCTATGTATGCACATATATTGTTATCGATTTTTCTTTTAAAAAAGGTTTGTGAACATTAAGCTGAATATGCTTACTCAGTTTAGAAACATATTTGTACTGTTACATTTGATTTATTGACCAATATAATATTCTTGGTTCTGTTGAATTATTTACTTGACTTCACATAGGTCCAATTCTGCTGTTGGTTCACGGATAATAATTCTTCACTAGTTTAAAAAAGACGCAATTTGAACATAGATAATCCATATCAGATACTAGTCTCCCAATAATACAGTCTATAGGTTTTGACTTGTCTCATTTCAGGCCAAAGAATATCTTAAAACTTTCACATGTTAAAGTGTACACTCCTTGATCCAGAGAAGGGAAGGAGGGGCTATGGGATGATATGCCCCACATGGGTTGGAGAGGGGGGTGGCAGTAGTGCGTACAAGCATGCGGAAGAGCGGGGATGAGGGTACTTACCTGGGCGGGGTCGATCCATGATCAGGAAGGTGGATGGCCTGGAGGAGCTCGCCCCATTGCACCATCGGGCCGGGCGACTCTAGTATCTCTCTACGGAGGGCATACACGTTGTAATTTGTGGCTGTGGGGGCTCGCGTCCGCGCGGCCCCCAATCAATCCCAAACAATAAACTGGATGTCCTTCGTTGAACCCCAAGATAGCTGTATGCTGTACGGAATGGAAGATCACCTAAGCTTATCAACTCAATTTCAATCGGCTAACGTTGAACTATCTCATTGCACAGACTATGTGGCACTTGCTCTTGCAAAATCCGAAACATGGACTGTCCAGACGAAATGATGATCCAGATTTTGCTACACCGGAGGTGCCGATCCGAGGTCGCCATGCCTAAAACTCGAAGCGAACTGGCAAGACGTCACGTAGACAGTTGTGCAACGCTGACATTTGTCGAGGATTATCACAGAATGGAAGTTTCGGAGTGATTATGTAAAGCCCGAACCTAGAATACGCACCTAGTGAGACGCCCTCGCACGGACCACACCGGGATTGCAGAACAGTTCTCAGTCACCATCTGCCGCGGCTCGACACGCGTCATTGCCCCAATCGCAAAAACTCTCCGTCTTCCTCAAGAACCTCCTCAGGGACAGGACTACTCTCATCCGGGCACTGCTTACTCCAAGTAGCGCTGGTGGGCGAGGCAGTGTGCTCGGGCTCTTGGCTACAGGCTGTCGCCTGTTCCCATGCCGCACCCATGCGTCTGTTTCGGCACACGTTGCGTGATTGCTCTGCCACGGTCAACCCAATTCTACCGAAAATTTCAAAGGCAGACCACGCAAATGCACGTTAATCTGCGACAGAAGCACTTCCTCTCCACTCGTAATCACATAGTAACGGGGTCAGGGTCACGAGGGTCGTCGTTCCAATCAGAACCCCGAGTAAACAGCTGCCGCTCTCTTCGACGGAGGCATCCATTGGCTTTTCCACCACACTACCGCCATCTCCTGGAGCATCGCTTCATGCATTGCACAGCATGTCATTTACGTGGGATCCGATGATGGACATCCAGTTTATTGTTTGGGTTTGATTGGGGGCCGCGCGGACGCGAGCCCCCACTGCCACAAATTACGACGTGTATGCCCTCCTTAGAGAGATACTAGAGTCGCCCGGCCCGATGGTGCAATGGGGCGAGCTCCTCCAGGCCATCCACCTTCCTGATCATGGATCTACCCGGCCCAGGTAAATACTCTCATCCCCGCTCTTCCGCATGCTTGTACGCACTACTGCCACCCCCCCTCTCCAACCCATGTGGGGCATATCATCCCCCAGCCCCTCCTCTCTTTCCCTTCCCTCCGCCCACCCCTTCTCTTCACCTCCACCTCCACCTATTTATCAACTCACCCACTGAAATCGGTGACTGTAAACTCCACAATCCTCACCTTTTATCTTTTATTACCTTTCAATACTCCTGTAAGGGGTCTTTATGCTTACAAAAAAGGCTAGAACTTGCAACTTATAAGGCATGTGATTGATAGAAATTAAAATTTTCTCTTGGTTGGATCTAAGCTTAGAAAAGACAACTATGAGGTGATGAAGAAATACAGTTATTTCTGAGATAGTGTTGTGTTTTTTAAATTTGGGTTAGTCAATCTTTAAATGTACATTTATGAAAAATTTAGAGACATTTTTTTAAAAAATTGATCAAATTTATGTATGCATGTATATATGTGTGTGTGTTAAAAAAAAGATTTTAGTATTTATGTTTTAAATCATGATAAAGAATAATAATTTAGTTGATGTCACGGTTTCTTTTTACTTTACATTGTCTGTAAAGCATAAGGGTTTTGAAAGACAGCTTTTCTTCAAATAGCAAGGGACTTTTACATGACATTTAAGTAATGGCCTTTTAAAGTAGGCTTTTAGGTGTAAAGACCTTCTAATATTTAAAATTTTAATATCACAAGTGAAATTTTGTAAGATTGACTAATATAACAACAAAACCAAGTATTTGAAATTAAAACAGTAAATAATATTAGATATTAGTTTATAAATATAAATAAATAAATAAATAAATAAAATTTTATATTTTTATAATTAAAAAAGTCATGGTCACTAAAAAAACGGTATGTAAATGTAAACAAGAAATATTGTAATTTTAAATTTTAATTTAATATATAAATTTATGGTGGATTCTTTCATTTTACAAAGTTTGTTTTAGAGTGTATTAACTATTATAAAAGATTCATTCTATGTTAACAAAAAAAAAAGTAAACAGTTACTTAATTTTTTTGTATTTATGATACACATTGTATGAAAATTTATAAAAATAGTAATGATAGCTTGTGCTAAGAATATTCAAATTAAATTCAAGGGATTTATGTCCAATGAGGAGTATTAACAAGAAGAAGAGGCATGTGGCTCTTACATGACTTTGCACATATCAAATTACAGACCTTCGAAATGTAATCAATTCGTAATTGTAAAATCACACATCAGTACTAAAGATTTAATTGGAATTGTAGTCTACTTTCATCTTGGTGTCCACAACTTTTTGTACTTGAAAAAAATATGTACTTCTTTTTAAACTAATAATGTTGAAAAACATGTCTTATATTTCGATGGAACGCATGAGTGCATCATTTTGATGTTTCAAATAGATTCCTGTCGCATGATATTGCAGTTCTCATTTTTCATTCCACGATATCCTACATTGGGTAGTATTCAGGATCCATAGCTCCACCACTCCACCACTCCAACCGCTTTCTGTGGCCTTTATCTACTATTTCCATGTCAACTTCCACTGGTTACCAGCCTCCGTACTAATGCCTCCAAATAATATATTTGTAATGCTGACGCCGGGATCTACCTCAGAAACTTGGAACTAAAAACTAACCACGAATATTTCTAAGTCCCTGGAGCAAATGCTATGAAACATGAAATACTGAATTGAACAATACCAGTTCAACTGCTTCAACCGCGTGAGATGATACTATTGTGAACATCATCTTTATGAACAGTGAGGGGTACAAGGCTAAAGACGTACACCCCATCAATTCTCAAGTATAGAATCAAGGACAACAAAGAGCTTGCTTCTGTAGTGTAAAATAGAACACTGTGAGCACCCCACCATGGTACATAAATATCAGTAGCTGGTCCTGGTGCAGAAAGCACTAACGATCAGAACTGACTGGTCGTGGATAAAACCTCGTCTAAAAGGGAAAAGCAAGTCCCCTCAAAAAATAGCTACCGCATTTCAAAGCCAGGACCAATACCAATTTGTGACGAGGTATACACTGCAGAAGGCATTATCCCAATGCCTTTCAAAGGGAACTGCTGGATACTTACAGAAGGACTCAGACCTACACAATGAGGTAAGAGAAAACACAATGATACATCACCTTCAATCTAGACTGGACCTGCCTCAAGCTCCCCAGCTACATCATATTCTTGTATTGGACATAGCTTTCGCTTGTGGTGCTTTTTGACAAAGCTCTTCCAGATTGCCTCAACATCTCCAGTTGTAACAAACTCTTTGCCGGCACCTTCTGAATACCATCCATCATATGAGAACTTGTCACCTTCCCGATTTCGACGGGACATAAACAACGCAAAGTATGTGTTCTCAAGGTCCAGTAGTGTAAGATCTGTGAGCTTGTCGAATGCGTACTTCTTTCTCCTTTGCCATGCCTTCGAATGCCATTATTTTTGTCAGAGGCAATATCCAATAAGATATGACAGCTATGCAGGGTGTAGTAAAAATGTTCAAAACATTTATTAGTCGGTTAAAGCTATTGCATGTACCTTATCTCCCAGTCGCCCCTCTCGCTTCGCCTTTTCCTTGAGCATGGCCCAACGTTGAGCAACTCGGGCTTTGGTCTGGTCTCGCAAGTAGGCACCACAGTGGGTGCATTGAAGCTTAGCAGAAGGGTTTTTGCTATGGCCACATTTTACGCATCTAGTATGTCCTCTCGATGCCTTCCCATTATCTATACAAGGAGTACTTCCAGCAATATCTTCTTCACTTTCACCGACGAGAGGGCTTCCATCATCTTTGGACAATTGCAAACCTAAAAACAAGACGGAAGTGATTGTCGATAGGGTAAAGCAGACACATTTTCTCGAAATTTATGATCAATAACAGAATCTTTTATATCACGAAAAACCATTTGGTATCCGCTCAACACACAATTCATGCTCCTTCTAAGACAGAATAAGGCAGTACCTGGCCCTGATGAGCTTTGGAGAAATCCTACAAGATCACCAACTTCATGAGATTGATGTTCTTCATGAGGTTGAGGTTGAGGTTGAGGTTGATGCACTGGGTTATGCTGAGGCCCCTCCGTGTTATCTGACCAGGAATAGAAGACAAATTTGATCCTAAGAAGTCTTACTATGCTCAAATTTATATACAAAACCACATGAATCATACAATTCCGTGCACTAGAAGTTCCGAGAAACATACAAAAGTATCTGCCGAGCTCTAAAATGCAAAAGGTTGCTAACACATGTACGTAGTTACAGCTAAATAGGAAACCCAAATCAATAGATCTTACCAACATGAGAGGATGCATGCTCCACCGTTTCCAGATCTCCTTGACCAGACACCATCAGAGGAACAACTCGAAAGTCTGCTTTCAAACCTTTAGGCAGAGACTTCTCCTTTGCTGCGTCAATGTTCAAATTTGCAGCTGGTCGCACCTCTGCTAAATGGTGAGACTTTCAGTCACAAAAAGCTAGAGATATATAGAAAATTTAAAAACACACAAGCCTCCGATCGCTTACATTCCACTTTTAGATAACAGACAGACATCAGAAGTCGCCACAAAGAAGTAGCTGTTACAAAAAATACTCTAAACAAGAATTGCTTTCTGAATCTTTACAATCAGTAACAAGACAAATTCAGTTAAATAATTACATCAGAAACTTCAATGTCACCTTTCAAACATGATCCTCGAATCACAACAGTCTGAGCTAAAAGAGATATCTGACACTCACACTCGGGGACTTAAGGCAAGGTTGCGTTACCTCTACAATTTGTCTCCCAGTTCTGCATTGGATTCATCACAGGTGATTCTCCTGATGTTCCTGGTAAGGAAAGGGATTGTGAATCTGAAATCATGGGATGCCGATGAGAATTTATTTGGTGCACTAAATAATTTCTCGCAACAAAATGACTCTGAGGCGCACTGCTTTAAATCTTTTTCACTACACTATTTTATAATGTAGTGAGTAAGGCAGCTTACAACTGAAACTGTAAAAACAATCTCTTCGAATACATGCACAAAATCACAAAACCTACTTGGCTACATACAGAATAGAGTTACCTGATGCTTCTTCTGAACTAACCACATTTGAACAGATTTTATGACATTAAATTATAGAGAACTATAACAAGCATAAAAATGGAGAACAATCTTCAAGACTAACCAGAAACCGTCTTACCTGGCTAACACATGGATATTAAAAAAAGCATCACAAGAAACTCAACAATATCAGCAGAGTTTAAATGTTGCATTCCTTGCCTTACTGAACGGGATGACATAAAAACTTGACCCACTCTGCCCAAACCTGGAAACCAATTACATGAATAAGAAACAAAGCAAAACACGGGGAAGAAAAAAGACCTTGAGGCACAAGAGAGAGTGCATAGGTGCCCCCAGCAACAAAGGTATCCATACTTAACCCGTCGTCATCGGCTTCCATGATACTGCCGTCCCCCATTATAGCCACAGAGGCCTTGAAGACTGCAAGAACGTTGTTTACTTTGACGCGGTTCTTCTCAGGTCCGAACAGATTCACCTTGAAGGACTGAGACTTCTGATTCAGATTTGTGAAAGTGACTTTTGCCGCCATGGTCTGTCAGCCCCCAGAATCACTGGCCCACAGTCAGCACCGCAAGCTTAACACCTAACCTCAAAAACTCGTCATCCAGGCTCCCGCCAAGCCATGCGTTTCTGTGAAACGAAGACGTTAAGGTCGTCCGTAGAGCAAACCCTCTCTCTCTGCAGCCTCTGATTGCACAAGGCCCCAACCCTACCAAAATCTGGCTGATACCAAACGACCAGGCCCCTCGCAAAATACATTGCTCCTTGCGGCATACGTGAGAGACAATATATATCCAACAACCCTCCGAGCTCAGCTAAAAGACTACCCGGAACCTCCCACTACACAGAAGTTCAACGTGACCCACCAATTTCTACCAAAACAACTCCCCGCTACTCCCCAAGCTCTCATTTGAAGCCCATACTACCAAATGCAGCTTTCATAGCGCGGCAACAACCCTCACTTTCAACCTCTAACCCCAGCTCATCTTACTGATTGTCACTACCGACTACACCCAATAACATGCGACAGTTACAAACTCCACGGAATAAACGAGGTTTGACAGTTGCAAAACAGTGTTTGATGATACTATGCGCCCGAAGTTGAAGCTTACCAGATAGATACATGGAAACAGAGGGAGAAAACTACGAAACGACGAAACTAAGAACCTGTCTTGCAATATGAAGATTATAGAATGAAGGGTAAGAGGAGGATGAGAGGGATTGTTGGAGCGAGTGATGCTCTAAAATCAGCGCATAGCGATAGATATGTCAAAGACTTTGAAGCGAAGATAATGAGAATGATTGAGAATTGGGCCGGTTTTACTCACTGCCTTGCAAGGATTCTCCCTTCTCGCTGTCAGGGCCTGGAAACCAGAACTTCTCGTTAAAACTAGCTTACGTATCTTGGTGATTTCGTGGTTGTGGTCACTCGGCACAGTTCTGATTCGAATATATTGGGCGTCTTGGATCCTACGCCCACCACCTTTTTTCCGATGATTCCTTTTCTTCGCTACGTACGCCGATCAAGCTTTGCTCTGTAGTGTAGATGTGCTTCGGCCAATTCTTCACTTGATGTCTTCGATTCGCTCATAGTTTTGCTTTCAACACATCTCTACTTGAGGTTTGTTTTGTGATTTTTTCTTATTTATAACGGGGGGGGGTATCGTTGTCTTCATAATCTCTTTATCCGTACCCATCAGAAGTTGTTTTTAAATTAGGCTGTTAAAACTTTCTGAAAGTGTAATTGACTGATTCACTTCCGTCTTGAAAAAAGAAAAAAGAAAAAAGAATAGTTAATGGATGATAGTTTGTGTGAAGATTTATAAGGTAAACCTTCACACAACTGTTATGAAGGAAAGTCGTGTTTCTAATGCATAGAGACTGGATCATTGATGAAACCCTTGCTTGTAAATAAAAACTACGTTACATGTTTACCACTTTTACCAAAGACGCTTTATTTGAGTAAGAAGTATAGCTATTTGATGACATATGTTGGAACACCTATATATATATACACACACAAAACCAAGCAATTTTATTTCAAAAGTAAAGTGATGGTATTCTAGTTGATTCTTTACTATATTAGATTTTTGTTTTAATTTTTTTATTAAAGCATGCATTACTCTAAAATATCTTAACTGACACAGAAGACATTCTTATCAACATCTCGTACATGTTTTTGGTTTCTGTAATTGTTACATAACACATAGTCTGGTTGGTCAGGGGCCTTTGTTATGCTGTACTACAGTAGAAGTACTCTAAGCAAATTGTTTTCCTAATTATAGCTAAACAGATGAAATAGCATGCGCACAAGAGCCACTTCTCATCAAAAGTCGATTGGGAAGATTTCCATATTCCAACCATGTAGATGAATATGATCCTAACTACCTATCAAGCGGGAACTGCGGCATTCAAGCGAACCCACATCAAACACTGAGTTGACAGTTATCTCTAGTTCAATTTAGGGTGAGTTTTTGATCAGTATCATAACGCACTGAGAGACGCTGTCCTGGTTCACCAATTTCGTGTGCCAAAAACACATAATGTCTACACAACTAACATTCTGAGCTGTACAATACAAACAACTGAATGCTCGATATGATCAAAGCATCACCAAAAGAAATGTTGGGATCTGTTCGCGCTCCTTTCAAGCAGCTTGGAAATCTCCAAAATCTTCGTCCAAATCATCTGCAGCATCATTAAACACAGAACTTGCATCTCTTCCTGTTGAATCAGGTACGGAAGCAGGCGCACTTGGCTTGACCAGTGACGGCGTTTTAATTAGCGAGGTAGGAGATGCTTTGGGAGGGGGTTGAAGTGTTGGCGGGGGGGGAGGAGGCACAATGCAGGGAACTCCTGAGCGTTTGGGATAATTTTCTGGAGTATCAGGGTTTGGCATAGGTTCTCGTACCCCAGATCTATTTACGTACTTTTCCAATGGTTTGGGTTTCAACCCGTTTCCGGATAACTTCGTCTGATTCACAATACGGATTCGAAAGTCAGCAACTTAACTCACTCACAACGTGTAATCTGTCTACTATGTTTGGGCTTCAAAACAAGATTCTATGAGAAAAAAATCAACAAACAGAACGTACTATATAATGGCACATGGCAGTGTAGATTTAAACAAATAAAAACTACATGAAGAGCAGACTGGTTATGAAGGTCTCGACGAGATCGACATTTGCAAGCACTCACATTTTTCAGCTGCAACCGCAACGTCTCTCCATCTTTGAGACTGTAGTCTACTGATGGCTTAGCCTCATATTCCTGTGTGATCTCATCGGCTTCCTTCTTCTTATTGAGATATCTTGCAAATACTCGTCAAGGAAGCCATTCTTCACGCAAGTTGGTGGTATTTTGATGATTCACGATGCCTTGTCATTATAGATGCGGGAGTGGCATCCATGCATAGGGCCACAGCAATCGATAACCCACTATTCTCGACAATCTTTAAATCAAAGAGATAACAAGATTCTGGGGTCCAGATGTGTGCAAAGAGAACCAGTACAGTTCAGAAATCATCTCGCAACAATCATTCAGCATGTACGTGTTTGGCGCATTCCCAGGTTAGAGGTCACATTTGAAGCTGGAAATACTTTACCTTTCGTTCTAGTAGACTTTCAGAAGAGACTCCAGACAATATTACACAGGCTTCGAATGATCTGACTTCAATTGAAATAATACACGGAAAATTCTCTCAACTCTAAAGGATACTTCACATGGTCGAACAGAGCTGCTTGAAAGTCGTATGCCTGTGGTCTTTCACGAAACCCAAGGCCAAGAAACGCATGCTTAGACTTCCCACCTGGACCAGTCACATACGCTTTTAGGATCCTCAAAAGTCCGAAAATCTACTCACAGCAGCATGTATTCAAAGAAAAATTATTGAGCAGATACAGGTCACACTTACTTGATTCATCCTCAACCCGTAGAACAAAGAACCTGCAAAATTCAGAGATTCCTCAGTCAATATGCAACACACGAGACCTCCGACACACAAGCACTAACACACTCAGGTGTTATGAACAAGTCCAGTAAACAATGCAGCTAGTTCTTAAGTAACAGCACCTGCTACTATCAATGACAGCTTCCACAGGAAGTGGCTGGTCCTGTCTGATTGGTGCTTGAGCATATAAATCCCCTGTTACACAACCCGAATACGACCAATCTTAGCTAAACACTTGCCTTCTCCGCCTATCTAATCAGAACTAGTTGAGAATAACAGAAGCATGACCTAAAAAACACACGCTGTAACAAATATATATCGAGAAACTGCCAAACAAAAGCTTGTAGCTGTAAATATTCTTGAGTAGACTATTAGATCAAATACATACTCAATAATATTAAATGAAACGAGAATCTGCTCATTCACCTGTGTCTTTATCTTCCAGCCTAATGGAACATTTTTCACCTTTTGAAACAACCTTCAAGACGCCCTCCCAGGCCCACTTGTTAATGTCCCACTCATCCGCCCTGCAGTCAATGTCGACTACTCAGACGCTTACAGTTGGCTTGAACACATTCCAATCCACCAAACAATGACTGCCTACACTGAAAAGCTGAGTACGTTACTAAAATGACATTTACCTGTAAGAGGCTGCACTTTTTCTTGGAGGTATCTGTGACACGCACAACAGTAGACAACTACTTTAGTCTCAAAGTTGATCTCGAACAGGAACGCAATTATACTAAAGGATTAAATAGTACATATTAAATGCCAATGATTAAGAAGAAACTGTAAAATCTGGAACGGTAGGGAGAAAAATCTGAAAATTGATGAACAGTTCACAGAAGTAGAAATATAAATCGAAATCAGGGGATGCGTAGCTCCTTGATGCTGAGCTCCTTGTTGTAAACAGACAAGCGTAAAGAAAACTGTCATCATTATACACAAATTGACTTCCAAGGAGAGTCCAACCGAAGCGTGATACAAAAACCAAGCTGTCAATCATACATGCTATTCACGATTCAGACTAAAAACTTCAAGTTCTTTACAACACATATTTCTGTAAATTGAAGTGTAGTTAAACGTGGTAGTAGAGACAAAGTGTTCAATAATTTGACGGTACACACAACAGATTTCCAGAGCGAGACCTAAATAGTCACAGTCCAAGTATACACCAGAACTTACGCAAGACTACCGAAGTAAAAGAAGATTGTATCGTGACTTTGATCACGACTTTCTACAGGCGCCATTACGCACAAGCCAGATCTCATGCGTCAATGGGCTCGAAGGGAGCGCTAACCCCAAACTAAATTAAATTGCTAAACTTCGTCGATAAGGCAACAATCAACTCAATCAAAGACATGGATAAGTTCAAGGGAATCAACATCGGGGCAGCTTCAACCTCAACAATTGCAACTCCAAAAACAAGACGAGCACAAGCAACTCTCTAATACTAAACCTAATCCAACTTAAACTCCAGTTGATCTAGGAAACATTGAACGGGGTTCATACCATGTAAACGTAGCATTCCTTAACGTGAAAGAGTACCAACTCCGCGTTGCTCTCCTGATCGTCACCCTGTGGTGCTGAAAATCCCTGTACACTCTGCACCTCGCTCTCCTTTCCTTCCATCATATTTTGCTTTTCCAGCGCTAAATCATACCACAATGCAGAAATCCTCAGTATTGTACTCTCCCTTCGTATGAACACTTAATCAACAAACCATGAGACGGCCTTAAAACCTCTCGAAAATACACACCCCAGAGCTTCAATTCACTGCAATCCGTCCTACTGTTCCGCCCTAAACCTAAACTATTGAGGTGTAAGAGACAATCATATAAAAGAGCGCAGTTGCTACGCAAAGTCGCACTGATCTACGCGTCACCCATCACGTCGAATATCTCGGGGATCACACAAGAGTCGTCGCTAAATTGAGAGTTACCCTAGTCATGCGAGAAATTTCAGGAAGCTTCGTTCCTCCACTGGCTCCCATGTAATCGTGGGTCCATGCATCATCAAGCAACCAGTTCCCGCTTAACCCGCTTTGTTGTGTCCTTTCTCCAATTGTCAGAATAAAGGAACCTGCCGCAGGGTGAACGGCCTGAGGCAATATACTTACGACTTCAGCTCTTTCCACCTGCTCGGGTAATTTACCTATACATCATCACCGTTTTTAGTTGGAACAGGCTTTGACAAGCGCTTTGTATTTTGGACCAAAACATTATACAATAGGAAAGTTAGATATCGCAGAAAAGTCGCACTAAAAGGAGAAAGATTACCAGATGTGCTAATCGAACCTGGTGGGTCTTGTAGGTTATTCTTGATTTCTCTGATAAAGGTTCAATATAATGGTGACATTGAATTTTTTATCCTATCTTGCTGTAAATGATTGTGATAGTAGAGCTGTAGGTTTCAGACGTTCAAAACAATCCCAGGTGTGCGAGTTGGAGGGTTATTCACAGTAGAAAGGGAGAACGATTATGCGAAGAGAGAAACCGTTTGATATGTTTCTAAGATTCGAGGAATTGGAGCATCAAACTCAGCTGTTTGTTGGGTTTTCAGATTTCCGACGTTTTGAATAAGCAATGCTCATCGTATGCTTTGCTAATATGTTAAGATTTTGTAGTCACGACTTGTGCTGTGAGGAGATAAGCATATGTAGTGGGGTCGCAGTTGCTTGTTGGAATGCTGTGAAATGGTATGTGTAGAGTATGGTTTATTTGAGAGAGTTTAATATACACGGCGTCACTTGGATTTAGTGAGGGGACTCGGTGTGGCAGAATACATTTCAAAAGACTAGGAAGGCAGCTTTCTTTGTTTTATGTTTTGTTTTGTTTTTTTAGAAGGGGGATCTTTCGGGCCCGAATATCCTGTGATCTTTTTCTTGGGTTTGAGAAACTGAAGTTTTGCGTGTAAGTTTGCTTGCTGAGATACATGTGGCGATGTTATGCCTTTGGAGTGTGTGCGGCTACTTCGCATTTGTCCGTCGGCGACGACGGTTTTTCCGATTGCAACAATTGCTCATCTCAATTCCGATTCTATCAGGTCCAAGCTTTTGACGACAGCGACATGCACGTCTACAATGCTAGGAATGTTCTTGAGCGCGATATTGCTCAGCAAAAGTCGCTGATCGCGACTGAGGATTTACAGCACACTCCGGTAACTCATGCTTCACGATTGGCTACCTAAGATAATCTCGCCTACTTTCCAACCTCTCAATTTCAATCTCAATACTTATCTCAAATTGGGGACCATACGATGTCCTCTCAGGTCATGGATACCTGGCAGATTCACGGTAGTACTCAATCAGAATTTGAAGTTTTAGGACTATTAAAATCATAGGATATTGGAGTTCAGTGTGCAGAAAGTAGATGTCGAGGGCGAGCAGGTGCAAACTGAGGTGGTAGAGCAGAAATTTGGGGTCTCTGCGGTACTGTGAGTCAATTTTGGGGCTTGCGTGAATGGAAATAGGGTGCGTGAATGGAAATAGGAAGGGGATTTGTTCGTTGCTGAAGCGTGGCATGAGTTTCTATGATCTGAGCAAATGAGCGTTAAAGAGGTGACTCTAGACTTCTATTGAATTATCCTATCTGTTTAAGATGAAATACATCTGACCCGGCAAGGGTGTAAATGGATTCACTTGGAGGTAAGAACTTGGAAGTAAGAGAACATATGTTTTTTAAAGTTTTCACCTTGAGTCTTACGAGGTGTTCTGGGAAAATTTGGCACTTCCCTATCATATTTAAAGGTGACGAAAGTTTTAGGAGTTCAACAGAGTCTTGGTTGTGCGAAGATCACGCCCAAGATGCCAACGGTACAAGAAACTCAAATCGAAGGTAGAAACTACATGTATATCAATCCACTGTTGCTGTTGGATTACATTTCGTGGTGCTGTGAAAGATTCATAGTGTACCATTGCTACTGGAACAATGAGATACTCATAGTAGTACGATAGAGTTTTAGTTTCTGGTCCCTGTAGTAGGCTGTTCTGTCACGTGGGATCGAATAAACTCTCTGTTTCTGCCGTTTCCCCCCCAGGTTGAACGAATAAATTGAAGTTCTTCAACCAAGTGGACTGTGATTGCATCAGTATCTATCCTCCGATTCCCGTTTGGCAATACAGAGTACCGAAATTGTAGAAAATTGGAAAGAATTGAAAACTTGTCCCGTACCTGAAATTCTGAAAGTTTGTTTCTTAATCCCACAACGTGTGTGCTCATTTTCACGCACACTTTCACACTTCTACCTTGCATCAAGGCATGTCTCCACTTGGGGCATTTGATTCCCGAAGATGATCATAAATTTATGATACCACGCTGCATCTTATATAGCTGAATTCCTAGTTTGTTTTGACAACGAGAACATGGATACCGAGAGATTATCGCCTATGTTACAAATATTTAGATGAGCATAGTGACCTTTGTAAAATTTGCTTTCAAGTGCATGAAAGCAACCCCAGATGAGTTCTATTTAAAGATGCGTAAATATGTGAGAGTCGTTTGAGATTCTTCCTCCAAAAGGAAACCAGGAGTGGATATCTGAATGAGTTGATTTGGGTCGAGTCTAAGATTTGCAGAATGTTGGAGTGGCTTCGTTTTTTTGAACATGCCCAGAGGGATGGGATATTCAGATGTTCAAAGGATACCCAGTCGTTTAATCTGTGAAGACCTTATTAGTATGATTTAGATCGGTAACTAATACTTTGAATTTGCGTATTTTCCACCTTTGATACTGGCAACGTTCCCTTCTGTCGTTCGGCCTTAGTAGCGGCTCGAAGACCTGCATCACTTGGAATATCTAATTCTGGAACGGTAATGAGGGTCTGAAGAGCTGGATTGTATGCACGTCTCTTGTTGCCTTCAATCAGTTACACTCAAAACATGTAATTGACGGATAAGTTGAGCAGGGCGTTTGGGAACGGTTTGGAGTCACAATGGTGCCACTGCAAGAGCCCATTCGTTGTGGAGATGCATGCATGGACATCAGAACAGGTTTGCACAATTTTGTGTAGTGAAAATGGGTGTGCCAGGGAAATAATGGAGGGATGACAAACAGACTAGAGGAGTTTTAATACCAGAACCAGATCGGCAGGAGGATATCGAAGAGTGGTTAAGAGTTACCCCAACGGAATGGCGTCTCCACGTGCCCTCGCGGCTCATACCTTTGGGAAGACGAACCGTGGTAGCAACCTGAATTCGGTTACACAGCCCGCTGGAGAAGGGCTCCACCACCACATCTCCATTCGCGGCAGATATCGTTCTATATCCTAGGAGTGCCAAGAGTTGCCCAACAAAGATGAACGCTCCAGCTACAGGGATGAAGCGTAGTCGAGTGGAGTTCGGTTCGAGGCAGGAAGAATGCAGGAGACTGCCCGAGGCGAGGGAGCATGAAGAGCCAACCACCAAAAAGGCAGGAGCTGGGACGAGGGGATCACAGCGGCGATGGCGGCGCCCATGTACACCCTGACGTAACATATTGCTGCACGTACTCCGAAAGGCTCCTTTGCCACCGCCCACGCGAGTCCAGTCTAATGTATAGGTAGTGTTATTTGCGTGGGGCGGATGTCACGATGCTGCACGCAGGCAGGTGCTGAAATTCTGAGGATTTACAACTACAATAGTGCCCCGCATTGTCCTTGTCGAATTTGCTGCGTCACAGTTGATCATCGTCATGGCGCGTTAGATCGGATCATTCTTCCAGTTGAGGTGATTGCAGTATTGACCATTGGTGTAGCTAGTGGTGAGAGGTGATGGAAGGATCGGATCGCGATTCAGAGGGTAGCAAAGGTGGATCGGGGTTGATTGCTGCTAGCCTCCAGCAAACGCCGCCACCGATTGTTTCTGGAAATGGTGGAGGAGGTTGCGGTGGAGTCCTCGGATCAGTGGACAAGGTCAAGTTCACGGTGTCTGTGAGGGGGCACCAGTGGAGCTCGGCGCGACATGTGAATGAGACTCTGCAGGAATTCGCCGCAACGATACAGGTATGCGTTAAGGACTGTATGTCGAGAAAGTGGTTGTTTATTCTATTCATGAGCATGCGTTAAATTCTCTTTTAAGTTGAAATAAATTTGCAGTCATAGGCTTGTTGGTGAGGTATATCAACCGTGACAAGCCATACGAGTGTCTCTTGTGAATGCGAAGCTTGATTGTATGATCACAGTTGGAGTGGGCAAACCGGTGTCATTCTCCTTACTACTTTTGCAACAACTTCCATCGGATGTTCTTGGAGATGTTGCGTTGCTGTTGAATAGGTTTTTTCAAAATTTGAAGGATTTTAAGTAAAAGCATTCAGGAGAGCGTCTGGCTGTGAAACACTTGCGGCTTTGATTTCAGATTGGTCAGTAATCAAGCAATCAGTGTGTGTGTGTGGCAATTTCTGACCTGACCGTGGGTCAAATGCAGCTACATTAAAACTCGGGGTGTTAACTTGGCCCAATCTTTAAATAGCTATCATATGATTGCTTCAAGTGGTCATTGAAGGTAATCGTACAATTTTAATGTGAACTGGAAAGTTCTTAACATCCCTCAATGTGCATTGGAATTTCATGGTCACCAGCGCAATGCTCGGCGGCTTGAGTTCATCGAGGAACAGGACACCATCCAGCGTTTGCAATTATCGTACCTTGATGGCTCAGAACCAGAGGATCTCGACGTGGATGCAACGCTCGGTGACGTAATAATTTGCATGGGCAACAAACAACTTGTCGCCATTGTAAATCCCACCAAGGCTCCCCTCAGTGGCAATGGATGCCTTGATGCCGAAATTTCGGGATCTGCGTCACCTATGAGATTACTTGGTGTGCATCAGAAGCCCAAGAGTAAATCCGACACTGCTATAAACAACTACAACCTCCCTCCCACGTCCTGCTCTCCAGACTCAAACGGTATTGGCACGGAGTCTCCACGAATAGGCCCCAGGTTTATGCACCTAGGTCATTACAAGCCGCCCTACAGAAGTAACCATTCGAAGCTTGCCACTGAACCTTCTACACAGGGATTGAAGATTGCTATTCCCCCTGCTGATCCCCCGTCTCTATCGTTTCAAGAGGACAGATTTTGCTCCTTCCATGCAGATTATGCCACTGAGCGGCTGGCAGGAAGCTTGCCCCCATTGGAAACTTCAAGAATGAACTACATTAATGGCAAAGCCATGATGTGTGGGGGCAGAGACGGGCACGGGACCTCCACGCATTTCTCTCCCAATCCCACTCCAAGTCCTGCTGAGCTTGCACAGATGCTTGTTAGGAGCTCATCTCATCCCCACCCACGAATGCAGCAGCAACACGCTGGCTATGGGGGCGGTGCTATGCCTACCATACCAGGAGTAGTGCAATGCAACCGATCTGCAACGTCCACTCCAAATGCTAACGGAGGCTTTCAATCGTTTGCATCCGCGATGCACAGTCGATTGCCAATGATGCCCAACAACAACGTCAACATGCATTGTCCACATGGTGCCACAACCAACATTGCCTTGCTGGCCCAGTTTTTGGCGTCGCAGCTTAGGGCGTTTGTACCTGCAGAGGAGGCAGCGCATCCAGCAGTAGATGTGACGAATTTTTCCCCGAGCAGAGAAAACAAGTATTGCTCTCAGCTTAAAAATGCGAATCCTCGCATTAGCATACCTCCACCTAAAGTATGCAATGGCCCAACAGCAGAGAAGGAGAATTATCCTGAAGCCTTAGGAACCATTGTTGAGAATGGGTCACCGAAAGATTTCACTGGAATTGTGAAATTACCTGTCAGTGGGTCGCATGATAAGGATGAATCGTCGTCATCAGCGAATGTGAACACCACAGTAGCACCTTCTAGTGATGGTGTTGATAGCGAGCATCCAAACGGCCATTCAGATTTAGTATTCTTGGTGAACAGAAGGAGCAAGAGGGTAAGGTCCAAGTCTCTGGTTCACCTTGTATTTCAGTTTTTGTTGATCCAGTGTAATAGTGTGTTTACAAATAGAAGTTTTCTCTTACCATGCAGGTATCCCAACGGTTAAGTGTGTTACTGTTGTGCTTGAATTGATGATGTACTAAAATTGCAGGGAGTCGGAACACATCATTTAAAATTGTCGGATTTGTCCACATACTTTCATCTCAGCGTTGTCGAGGCTGCCAAAAAGCTTGGAGTTTCCCAAACAACATTGAAGAAAGCATGTAGAAAGTTTGGTCTGAAGCGTTGGCCTGGCCGCAAGGTAGGACTTTTGTAGACAGTCTTTTAAATTTTGTGTAATACACTAATTGTGTACATATTGAGATGTGCAAAATGGTATACTTGATTCTTTATAGAGAAAAATGGAACTTTTTGGTCCGGATGTGTTCGCTCACCATGTTAACTTTCCATGATGATTAGCTCTGTAAAATAAGTAGATTCACAACATGTTTGGGACGTAATGTGATTTGCACTCTTTACAAGTCCAGGTGAGGAGCTTAGAGAGCACAATCCACGGGCTAGAGCACACAATTGCTGTGGGCCAAGGGGCTGGTTTGGAGGAGTTAACTGAAGCATATATGCGATCGGAAGTTTCCAAATTGCAACAAGAGATGAACCAACTAGTGCACGGGACTCCTGCCCAGGTGATTAAAATATTGTAATCTTCTGCCCCCATATAATTACTTTTTCAGTAAAATTGCATAGAACATAATCTAACATGTTCATAACGGCTGATGTTTACAACTGATTTATCAGCATTCTCCGGCGGTGAGAACCGCGGATTTGTACAAGCGCCTATATTCGCGAGGGTGGCGTTCAAAATACCACAACTCAAGTCGACACGACCTTGATCTCAGCAACACTATCCACGAGAATCGGCCCTCTGAACTGGTGCAATCGGCTAAAAAAGCAACTGAGACGATGACTAAGATCGTAAACTCAGCGTGCAAGGTTTTGGAGGGCGGTCAAGCAAACAAATCGCGGGCAGAAAGGCTTGTCCTGTGCGAAGACTCACTTAACCAGCAGAACCAAACGACATGCGTCTCTGCAGTTAAGGAGCTTGATAATGGGGATCAATTAAGAGAGTCAAGGAAGGAGACCGCATTCGAGGAACCCAGCACTCCAGTTAATGTGCCAGTTCACAATGGTGCCGGTGTCAACTGCGCCAACGACAATGCAGAGAAATCATGTCCCGAGAAAGTGATCCCTAAGGAGAAAGAGATCATATTTCCAGAGAGAAGTCCCAAAAGGCCCAAAAGAGAGTGCAGAACTGCTGCGGAAGGTGCAGTGCGACAGGGCTTACGATCCAGCACTTGTGCAATGTAGACTTGCAGCCAATGCAAGATGGCATGTTCCAGCAATTCAATTTATCGCATTGCTTGAGATTGCAGTCTCTTTCCCAAGTCGATGAGCCACGGTTCAAGAGATCAGAACTACTAAACTCTGTTTTCACGATAACATGCAACAGACACTTGTGAATGTCTCTTTCGGCTGTTTCTCCTGGTAGAAGTCACTGAAACTAAGACATTTGGAGCATGCATGATTGGTAGTTTCACCACTGGAACGCCTCTCTTCGCCGACGAACACTAATGTGTTCAAGTTGTATTCTCACTCTCAGTTGTTTCAACTGATGACGAACCCTGTAAACGCTTTACTAATGTCGACATGGTTGAAGTTTCCCAACACGGATGTTCCCTCCAAGTCTAATTGAAGCATGTAACTTGACATGAGCAATGTCTTTCAAGTCTCTTTTCACAACCAAGAATTAAATTCCATCTGCATGTGAGTATATTTGAACGTGTGAAGGCTACTGTTAATTTTTTCAACCCATCTGTTTGAGGTCAGTAGTTTGTGGTAACACTGATATTAAGTAGCAGTGCCTTTTTAAAATTTGACTCCATGACCATTTATTTTGCACTCAAACCTCTCCTGTCTAAGGCAAATTTTGAAGCAAGAATACAGTTGACTGGCAATAAGTTGCTACTTTCTGAGAAAACAAAATTCTCTGAGGAATCTTCACTGCTAGAAACTTACTTCCTATCTCTAAACTTACTTACCTACATTTGGAACTATTCATTTTTATTTCTCAAACAGACAATAATCTATTATTTCCCATATAATTGGTATTCTTGAACCTCAAGCAATTTTGAAAAGACTTCAAACATTGTATGATGTACAAAACTTAAATAGAAAGCTTGTATTTAGGAAAAAGTTGTCTACTCTATAATTACCAAAAGGAAAAGGTTTGGGCAATTATTTGCAAGAAATTAATTTGATCCATAAGGAATTAGAAATAATTAGCATATATGTGTGCATTAAAAAGATATTGCTACTTTGAAATTAAACAGTTTACTAAAGAGTTGGTCCATGCTCAAGCAAATTCAAAAGGATAGAATGATATTATCTACATTTTCCAAATTTGAAGGTTTTTTGTTATATAGGAGTAGAAGAAAGTTTAATAGAAGTCAAGAGAATCAAATATTTCATTAGAATATGATTAGATTAGAATAAATTAATAAAAAATGAAATAATAATATTATAAAAGTGTTAAGAATTGCAAGAAAAAGAATTAGCAAGTAGATACAATTTGACCCACTATCATATGCAAAACTAATGTTGTGTTGCAACATAGCTATTGAATGAAAGAAAGAAGAAAGTATTATATTATGAAAGAACTTATTTTAAAATATATTATCAAATTACTTTAAAAATATAGATGATTTTTTTTTAAAATAGTAAAATTAATAAGTACTAATATAATATATATATATATATATAATATAGTATATATAATATATACTAATATATTATATATATATATATATATATATATATGTATATTTTTTATAAAGCCATATACAAGAGAAAATAAAAGTATACTAATAAAAATAGTATCATAAATATCTTAAGATAGATATAAAGAATAGAAATTAAAAAAAAACTACTTAAATAAATTATAGATTAATACTCATGGTGGATTAATTATGAACCAAGGTCAAAACCAAATTTTGTGGAACAAACCTATGTGTCTATAGGAAATAAGGCTATTTTTTATTGATTAAAAAGCTAGATTACAAAACAAACTATATAAAAGTTGTTTAAGCATTGATTTGAAGTGATTTGGATTGATATTGTCTTTGTATCATGCTTAAAATTATAATTTCTTATAAATTAATCTAAAAATTCTTAAATAAAATTTTAAAAAATCAATATTTTAGAAAATTAATTTTTTATAAAATTTGATATATGGAATTTGAAGATAAATATTTTTTTCTAGTTTAATGAATATAAGATTAATTCAATAATATATATATATATATATATATATATATATATATATATATATTTTATATATAAATTTTACATCATGTGACAAAAGTAAATAAAAAATCCTTGATTCAAATGAATTTAATAAGTAATTAGTAATTCTTAAAAAATAAAATAGAATAAATAATAAATAAATAAAAATTAACAAAGAATAGAAAAAATATTCTACTATTACTTTGGAAAGAAGTTCAATGGATTTCATAAGACATTTTTTTTAATCACTATATTTTTTTGAAAGGTTGGCATTGCAATTGTTTAGATGAGTGATTGTAATTAATCTTTGGTGACATTCTTTTGTTGGAATTTATGTGTGCATGTAGAATAAGTAGTTATTTGCTGATTTGTAGATACTTAGTTTATAATGTAAACAGGGATAGATGACTATTGGAAAGGTAGTTCAGTAGTTAAAATGGATGAATAGTTAGGAAAAGCAGTTTTCATTAGAGATGTAGTAGTTGGTATCTCGTGGTAGGATAAGGAGGATGAGAGAGAGGAAGAAACGGCCATTACTGTGATAGTGTGAGCCGGGGTAAGCTTGGTGCTACCTCTTTTCTTTTGTTGTTATGTTCTTTGAAATAAGAGTATTGAGAGTTTCTGAATATTATGAAGTGAATCATGGAATGAAAGTGTGATTGGAATTATATGTTATTGAATGAGAAGAAGAGAGATTGAATGCTGAAATCTGAATGTAGTTCAGCAGAAAGAGTGAATCTGTGGTTGTGTGAAACACTGTAATGTGAATGGTAGTTATGTGTGAAGAATTCCAGTAATTGGAATGAGGGTAATTGTGTGCTGAAGCTATGATGTTGCGGTATTACAGTTGGAGGTTATAAGAGTGAAGATATATTGGTGGAAATAATAGTTATTGGTATGACTGAATTGTTGTAAGGAAGAAATTGATAAGGTGAAAGGAGAGATTATAGTTTCCTTGTGTACTTAGACAATGGAAATAGAGACGATACATTGGAGGTAATTAATTGTGTGACCCTAACGTGAACGCTTAAGCAACTAGTCACTCCTCGTGTTCGAATTCCCCTATATAGGTTTATTCTGGGAGGTTCCTTTCGGAATAAGTAAAACGATCAACCACAGTACATAAGTATTGTTTTGTGGTAGGACATAGTGTATTTTGTTGATAGAGTAGTAGTATGTTTTATTTATTTTTTGGTTCCTAATTCTTGCATAGTCGGGTTATCAAATCTAGTTTGAGGTTATTACAATTTGTAATGTTGCTATAAAAGATCTCTTTCTTATCTTTTGATGAGGTGGTTGTCAACCTTTTTTTGATTGTCTTGCTCTTATGTCAATTTTTGGTATAGGTTTTCAACAATGTCTAGATTTGGTTGTAGTTCTTTTGTATGCATTGGATTGATTATGTGCACTGCAATGATTTGGCGCCACTGCCGAGGAGTGATAATAGCTTTGAGTGTTAGGAATTAATTACAAACGTGTGAGAATATGAGCAATGGAAGAAGATTTCAGTAGTGTTTGAAGAAAGATTATCGTTAATAAGAACGAGAGCATTGTATCGAGGAAATTAAATCAGTTGAGAGAAAGGCAGGGAAGAGCGCAAGGAAGGAACTTACGTAGAGAGGAGCAAGAACGTAATCTTAAAAGGAAGCATCGACAGAATTGGATTAAACCATGGTTGCAAGCTTGTCGGCGCATCCAAACATATCAAGAACCGGACAGACTGTTAATTCTGCAGTCATATGTACCATTAGAAAAACTGCCAAGAACACTCGCGGGAAATTTTGTTAACATTCCAGTAGAAATCTTGAGGCCGTTAACTGAAAGAGAAGGAGGCATAGAAGTATTTGGTACTCCATTGGGTAATTTTTCAGTAGGTGGTACCGCTGAAATGAGCAATAGGGGCTCTGCAGATTGGCATGAATTGGTCGCCAATAAAGGCAACTATATCGTATTTTAAAATCCGACTTTTTTACCTGCAAGTCAACCAACAAAACTATTTGCGGAGAATAATAGTAAAGCAAGGACCGCTGAGAGCTCGGTAATTAGAATAAGGGAAAGCAGAGATGATTTTAAAACAAATTTCAAAGGAACAAAAAATTCAATGGCGGCAGGAGGACCTGCCGTTTCGATTGCAGTTCAAATGGGTACCTTGGACGATCGTACGACTAGTGTCGCACCATTACCTACTTTTCGTGGTTTGCCAGGTGCAGACCTAGATCAACATTTGTCTCAATTCTTGACGGCGTGTGTAGCCAATAATGGAAGGATAGAAGACATTTGACTGAGATGGTTGCCAGCAACACTAAAAGATACAGCGTTCGAGTGGTATAACCGCCAACCTATAGGTCAATTTATCAATTGGGAGGCATTGAAAACGACATTTTTAGCCCATTTCTGACCAATTGGTTTTGAAGAACGTCTTCGAGAAAGATTAATGAACAGTAGAATGGTACCAGGGGAAGCGGTACAGTCATATTATGGTCGTGTAGCAGATATACTTCGGAAATGGCCAAATAACCAAATGTCGGAATCGTTTGTATTGTCCATATTGGTTAATGGATTACACCCACCAGAATTGAAGATGTTTGTAAAGGAGGCCCAATCAGCTACCATTGCAGCATCTCTTGAGCGAGCAAAAGTATGGGAGGAATGTCATTATGACCAGCACTTAACCGTTGGCGCTAGGATGATTCCATCGCAAGGCAGTTATCAAATGACAAATTGGAATGACGCATCAAAAAGTTATCCGGGAAGGAGTGATTATGGTACAATTCCACAGGGAATAGTGAATGCCGTTCCATTGCAGGCTGTACTACCATCATCGTCACAACCGTATGTACCTTATTCTACATATCAAAAATCAATACCTACGAAGGAATTGACCAATGAATTGGTATCAAGGGATCCCAATGAGTCATTGCTGTTAACATAAATGAAGAAAATGGATGAATTGGCTGTGAATCTGGCCAAGGATAAAGAGAAAAGGCATAAACCGACCAATATGCGACCTAATGTTTGGTGTAGCAATTGTAAGGGACTAGGTCATTTGGTAACCGAATGTTCTTCACCACCCCAAATGATGGTTCTATGTACCTTTTGTGGGGGTAAGCATACCACTGCCAATTGTTGGAACTTAAGGAAACAACAACAAGTCGGACAACAGACCATGAGTCAACCAACTTCGTGGGATGTAAATCAAGTACAAACGAATAATAGGTTCAGTTGGAATGGAAATCGAGCGAATAAACAAAACAGGAATTATTCCAATTTCTAAAACTCTGAATTTCACCAAGAAGGTGTATCCAATACCCATGGCTTGGGGCTAAATCAGCAAGGATATCATCAATATTCAACCATGCAAAAGCCAATGCCAGAATCTACAG